AACCCCAAATCCCAGACTCTCTGGCTCCTGTAGTGGCCTCAGGGCTTTGGGGGCTCATGCAGAGCCCCCCACATGGCATGGGGCTGTGCGGGCAGTGGGGATTGCAGCCCCGCTGCCAGGCAGGAGCCAGTGAGCCCAAGTTGTTTTTGTTTTTTTTTAAAGGGCCAGAGCTGGGGTGGGTGGGGCAGTCATGGAGGCAGCTCCTGATGACCCCCAGCACGCAGCATGGGGCAGTGGGGGGCAGCGGGGATCGTCCCCCCATCTGGCAGCAGCTAGTGAGTCAGGGCTTTTTTTTTTCAAAAAGTGGGGAACTGGGGCGGGCAGGGGGCAAGGCCTGTGTGATTCAGAGATTTGGCTGATTTGGTAGCAGCCAAATCTCCAAATCAGATTTGACCGAATTGATTCAGGGCAGTGATTTGAATCACTGAATCGTATCACTGTCTCCCAAATCGGCCGAATCTGAATCTGAAGTGTATACTAGCCACTTTGTACAGGCCTACTAACCCGTCACTCAATAGAGCTAGGAGAATGAATTGAAACCTCCATGAAAAATTGTTGCACCTACCTAAAAGACTGCTGCTGTCAAAGCCTCATTCAGCACTAAAGCAAACTGGTTCCATGTATGGCCAATGATTTCATTAGCTCAGGGGGTTGACTTAAAAAAAAATTAGCAGCAAAATCCAAACCTGTTTGAATATGTTTGTTTGTACTATTCTGAGTGACTTCAGTACTTTATAATAAGGGGAGGCTTTAAATCAGGCTGTCATAATTTCTAATCTCAAAAATTAATGTTCATTCTCCATTTCTAAATTTCTTGTTGATCCCTTCTGGCCTTAAGAAGAGTAGGGGGATGAGGACACAAAAGCTGTGTAGACACTAGGAGAAGCTAAAAGAAAATGTGGATAAGCCTCTGATGTCTCTTGTAACTAGTAGAATATCACGTCTGAGTCTTGCATTGGCCTTGATGCATCGGCTTTGTTCAATAGTAACCTAAGGTAGCTAGGTTTAATACCAGATTGCTGAGCAGATGGGGAGGTCTCCAAGAGATATTCTCTATAACTTGGCACTGAGCTTACCTGCTTTGGAAACAGCAAGACGGTGGGGGCCCCCACCAGGATTCAAAGCCATGTTACTTGGCAGTCTAGCTACTGCATACTTGATATCAGTTCTGGTATATTATACCTAAACAGCAAGGTACTTCTGTGCAGTCTCTGCACAGTTCTGAAGAGTTCTCAAGTTCAAAAGCAATGCTAACCCTGCATTAGTATACACAGATGCTAGGGATCAAATTCATCTCTGCTAAGCAGGTGGAAACCCTAGGAAACCAAATCTGGTCATGCTAGGAGTTAATTTGGCCCCATCTCCCCAGAATTATTCCCACAAAGCTCTTGCCTAGCCAGATAAGAGCTCCTTGGGCGCTGGACTGGGAATCTGAGGTTTCCTTGCCATCTTCTGTCACCTGGCACTTACCAGTGATCCGAAGGGTAACTCGCAAGGGTTCCATTCAGGACCAGTGTGGCTGAGCCTCCACCATCCAGATTAACAGCATTGATGATGCCCTGCTGCTTTAGGAAGTCTGCCATTTCCCAGAGACTGAGGCTGCAGAAACAAACCAGACTCGTGTCCAAGGAAGCAGGGGCCAATTCTGTAGCACCACTACAGGTGCTCTGAGAACAGGAGGAGGGAGGGAAGAAGAGGGATGCAGTTCTCAAGCTGTATTTGTGAAACACCTCAGTTAGTTTCAACTTAGTCACTTTCTGAATCAGGGCTGTCTGATTGTCAGCCTATAGCATGCATGGGGCCTGCAATGGGTTCATTTGATGCCTCTAGGCACACATCCAGCTGCCACTTCCCTTACGGTTTTGGCTGCAACAGTAGCCAGGGCCTATGGGCTCCCCCTCTCTCCGCCAGCTGCCACTTCCTGCCCTGACCCCAGGGGGTGGGGAACGTGGTGCAGTGTAGGACGTTGAGGGTGAGTTAGGGCCATACACACGAGACGCTGTGTCGCTGTAGTTTGTCACTATGGCAAAGTAGTGTTGGTGGGCCCAAACCATGATGCCAACGCTACATCACTAGTGATGAGCTACCTCATTATAGTGCGTTACTACAGTGAAATAGCTGCTAAAAATAATCGTGCACTGCTGGGATGGTGCAGTAATGGCTGTTACTGCATTGTCATTTAGTACTTCCTAAAGCAAGTACTGTGCCATGGGGAGCATGTGTAGATGCGCCCAGTGGGGCGGGAAAGTTGGGCAGGAATTCAGCCCATGCAGGACATGAGGCGGGGGTGCGCCCATGACGGTGTGAACTGTAGCAAGGGGGATGGAGGGAATCGCACTTGCACAATGGGCACAAGTGGTGGCAGGTGGCCCGTATGGTGCTTGTGGACTCAGCAGCTCCTAGCGATGCCAGATGTATAGAAACCAAGCATCTATACTCAGATTTTTTTTGCATTGCTTTAGCTATGCCAGTGGAAACATCCAGTTTAGGAATCCTGTACTATGGAAAACTGCACTGAGGCCTCCTGATACAGATTTGTTCTCACATATGGAATGAACACCAGGGGCTTGCACCTAGCCTGGCTCTTAGATACTGACAGCCCATATCCATTCTGCATATCAGAATAATTTTAACAACCTCAGTCTGTGCAGACTGGGCCTTTGCCTGAAAGCTGTGGTGAGCAGCAAAATGCAGCTTGCTTGTGTCTCTCACAGGCAAAAAACATCCTTAATTATAGTAGAAGGTAATTGTGGTAGGGAGGGAGCCTGTAATTGTGGTACAGCAGGGGGCCTGAAATTAACCTCTTTCATCAATTAATTCTATTTCAAGTTGACAGCACTCCCTTAATTTTCAACAACGCATAGAAGGGCCAAACTCCCACCTTATGCTAAGCCTGAGAGCGCTACCATGGCTGAGTTAAACAGAAATGTTAAACACTTTTTGGTTTTTTCATCCCAAAGTCTTGAATTAATAGTCTGGGACAAAAGCTTGCATCTCCTCTCTGACTTCCAGGACAAATCAAGTTTAAACTGTGTTTCTGATGCATCTAGTTGTGAACCGTTTCCATATGTTACCGTTGGAATGGCCTTCGGACAGGTCAAAAATAGGTCCAATCTACTCCCATTGGAAGTAACAGCACTACCAGCAGTGACCCAAATCCCAACAACTTCCAGGGTGCAAGATCAAGCCTTTAAATACACTGGTACATGCACCAGGAGTTTGTTCAAGAACGAGTGCGTGGCCTTACCCTCTGGCATCAGTCTGTCCATCCACGTGAACCAAAATCAGCTGGCCCTGACTGTCATGCCCCACAGCTGTCCTGGCAGATATCACGTTGATAAACTTGTCAAAGTTGCCTGTGGGAGACAGCACACAACATACAAACCAGGTGCTTGAAGAAGTCAGACTTAATCTAGAAAATAACTCTCTCTACAAGAGACTGACCAGGAGGCTGCTCAGGAACTTTCCCCTTCCCACCTCACACAGATCAGACTTCAAGCACTGAAGCAAAAGCAAAAGCAAGCAAGTTCAGTGCAGTCTTAGTCTACTTGCTGGTCTGTGAGCAGGAGGCTGTAGCTTTGAATCACTACCTGTGGTCTGAGTCTCGTCGCATTCTGCTGTCTTGCTCTGATTGATGTACACCTCTCCGTTTCTCAAGAGCCAGACCACCCCGCTCACCAGCTGCATGAATGGGTTCACTGGATCCAAGACATCCTCCTCAGAAAGGTAACTAGAAGAGAGGACAGGGAGGTTGCACAGCACCTTGACAAAGTGTGTTACCCTTGTTTGTAGGGAGTAGTAGATATGCTGGAGGGTAAGGCTAAGATTCAGAGAGACCTTGACAATAAATTAGAGGACTGGACCAAAAGAAACTGCATGAGATTCACTAAGGACAAGTGCAAACTCCTGTACTTAGGACAGAACAATCCCATGCAGTGGTACAGGCTGGGGGCTGACTGGCTAAGTAGTAACTGCAGAAAAGGACCTGGGGGTTACAGTGGACAATGAGCCACGTGTGTCCTTGTTGCAAAGACGGCTAAACAGCATACTGGGCTGCATTAGTAGGAGCACTACCACCAGATTGAGGGAAGTGATCAGTCCTTTCTATTCAGCACCAGTGAGGCCACATGTGGAGTACTGTGTCCAGTTTTGGGGCCCCCACTACAGAAAGGATGTGGACAAATTGGAGAGAGTCCAGCAGAGGGCAACAAAAATGGCTCAGGGGCTGAGGCACATGACTTACGAGGAGACATGGAAGGAACTGGGCTTATTTAGTCTGCAGAGAAGCCTGAGGGGGCATCTGACAGCAGCCTTCAGCTACCTGAAGGGGGGTTCTAAAGAGGATGGAGCTAGACTGTTTTTAGTGGTGGCAGATGACAAAACAAGGAGCAAT